TGTTTTTGTTTAAAGTATTTGAAGTATTGTTATTTAAATTATTATCCGAAAATGTAAGCTTCCCCTAAAACGTATACATTTGTTACTAAACCACCGGCTAAGCTAAGTAAAGTAAGTAGCGTTTCGGTCCACTAGGGGTCGGGGCGTTACACATTCCTTGAGATAGTGCTTGCAAGTACTTAAATGAATCGATGAGGAAGCATCTTGTACTCGACTAAGCTTTAAAAGACGAAAACGCTTATCTACATAAATTAGTCTTCAACGACTTTAGCTTCAAGTTTTGTCCAAAAAATTCCATAATTGACAGGACATTTTTTAGTGGGAATAACTCATGATATTAAAGATGGAGGGATAATATAGATTGCTGCTAATCCATTCTTTCACTGGAGAAGCTTCTTACGGAATGAGAAGTAAATTATTTGGAAGGTCTCTTATATAATAGAGTTGGATGGAAGACATCCTCACACATTATTAACAGTTAGCAGAAACTCTTTTAATCTGATATCTTTTAATCTGATATAGCAAATGGCATCAAAAATCAAAGAAACCCCAATAGAAGAAGACATTTCTTTAGATGATCTGTTTGACCTCACCATGAAATAGAAGTGGAACCAAGTTTAAAAGGCTTACAAGAAATATCCCTCCACTTGCAGAGCCAAGCTCACTAAATTAGAAGAGACGGCTTTACATGTAGCCATCTCTAGTTACCACTCTGAATTACAGAGCCCTGATTGTGAAAAACAGATTGAGGAAATGATCAAATCCATACCTGACAAAGATGCATTCGAGATATTATCAATGAAGAATGATAAAGGAAACACTCCTCTCCATCTCGCAGCAGCAGTCGGATGGCTAAGTATCTGCAAGTGCATAGCTTTAAGGGATCGTGAACTCATTTAACACTTAAAATTTAAAGGGAAATACCCCATTGTTTGTAGCGGCTTATCATGGAAAGTTGGATTGTTTTCTTACCCTCCATCATCTCTACAGTAAAAAGCCATTTCAAGAAACAGATCAGCAAACGAAAGGACAAGAACCAGACGAAACACTTTGTAGATGGGAAGATGGGAATGCAATTTTTACACTCAGCTATTTCCGGAGAATATTTCAGTAAGAATTATTCTTTACAACTTTCTTCACATTCAAACATTCATAGGCAGGTTTGGTATACTGGATTATACATACATACATACATACTATATATATATATATAAAGTATTTTCCCTTCTTTGATTTCTTCCTTATTGGAAACCTGTATTTGATTTAATCAAATTGGATTTTTTTGATTTTCTTTTTTTGCAACAGAATTGGCTTACCGGATAATCAGCCATTACCCAAAGCTGATCAATTCAGTTAATATGGAGGGTGAATCTCCTCTCCATGTTCTTGCCAGAAAGCCTAATGTGTTCAGAAGCAGCACTCATTTTCCATTCCCAGACTCTATCATCTACCGCTGTGAGAAATCTTCTAACACAATATCATATATTTGCAATAGGATTCTCATTATTATGACTAGCTTATCATTTAGAGTTATTTTCATATTTATGTACTTTAGTAAATGATTAATTTGCTCACATCAGCCTAATTAATTATATTTATTAAAGAATTCAAACTTCATCTATGATATGTTTCTCTCTATTAAGTCATGCTAAAACA